AATACCAGGCTGAGGAGAGGAAACTCAGTTTTAGTTTTCATGATATCAAATCAAATCAAATCAACTTTATTTATATAGCACTTTTCATACAAAAAATGCAACTCAAAGTGCTTTACAGATTAAAATGGCCCCATAGATCCCACATTCCCATCCCAGCCCCGCTCCCCAAGTATAAAACAATTAAAAATTACAGTTCCCCTCCCGCACCCAATTTCCAAAGTGGACATACAATCACCCGCATACTCGTCCATGCACACACACACACGCAAACACACACACTCGTGAACACCAGAGGAAACAATAGGCTGAGTTCAGATGGGTTAGGTAATGAACGACACATCATCAGCGGAGCCATCTGCCCTGGCAGCAACAGATCCACGGCAGCAGCCAAGAGACCTGCCCATGACGCCCAGTGGCGTAGGGCAGAAACCCCCACCAGTGCCCGGGCACTACCCGAGGAGCCCCCCGGCCGCCACCGCCCCTGACCACCGGCCCCAAGGCAGAGGGCTCCGCAGAGGAAACACTGGAGGATTTAAGATATATAACATATAAAATAATAAAAGCTAATAATGATAAAAAGTAACTGATGAAAAGTGATTATAAAGATAGTAAAAGAAAACATAATCATGTAAAAACACTAAGATGTAGATAAAATGATAAAAATAATAAAAGAGATAAATATGCATTTATAGATAAATAGTAATCAGTTAAAAGCTAAGCTAAAAAGGTGGGTCTTGAGCCTATTCTTAAAAGCCTGGATGTTCCCTTCGGACCTGAGGTCCTCCGGCAGCCCGTTCCAAAGGCGAGGGCCGTAATACTTGAAGGACGCCTCGCCGTGGGTGTGAGTCTTAACTTTAGGGATAACTAGGAAACGGCTGCCAGAGGAGCGCAGAGACCGCGAGGGTTTATATAGTAAAAGCAGTTCAGAAAGATAAGAAGGCCCAAGACCATTAAGACACTTAAAAACCATTTAAAAAAACTTAAAATCAATCCTGAAACATACGGGGAGCCAGTGCAGTGATTTTAAAACCGGAGTGATGTGCTCCCGCTTCCTGGTCTTCATCAGGACACGTGCTGCTGAGTTTTGTAAAAGTTGTAAACCTGAGATGCTCTTTTTGGGAAGACCAGAAAGCAGGGCATTGCAGTAATCAATTCTACTGGTTACAAAAGCATGCACTAGCGTCTCCGTATTGGCCCGAGAGAGAATGGGTCGGACTCTGGCGATATTCTTAAGATGGTAAAAACCTATTTTTTTAATGTGGGGAACAAAAGTCAGCTCAGAGTCGAAAATAACGCCCAGATTCTTCACTTGTAGTGATGGATAAAAAGACATTGACTGTAGTTTAGGTAAAAGTTTCTCTCTCTGGGCCTCAGGACCGATGACTAAAACTTCAGTTTTGCCCTGGTTGAGCTGGAGAAAGTTTTCAGTCATCCATGATTTAATATCTAAAATGCAATTTAAAAGTGTTTCCATTGGCTGTGCGTCATCAGGAGACACGGAGATGTACAACTGTGTATCATCAGCGTAACTGTGGAAATTCACCCCATGTCTCCTGATGACGCTGCCCAGAGGGAGCATATAGAGGTTAAAAAGCACTGGGCCTAGAATTGATCCCTGAGGCACCCCGCATGTGATGCTGTGGACCCCAGAGGAACAGGTATCCAGACTCACCATAAAAGTCCTGTCTGTGAGGTAGGAAGTAAACCAACTGTGAACAACACCAGAGAGGCCGATCTGTTTTAAACGGGTTAAAAGAATAGTGTGGTCTACTGTATTAAAGGCAGCGCTTAGATCCAGCAGAACCAACACTGTTGCCCTCCGAGCATCATAATTTGTTCTAAAGTCATTTAAAGTCTTCAGAAGGGCCGTCTCAGTGAGGTGGTTCACCCTAAAACCAGACTGAAATTTCTCTAGGACATGTTGGTGGTTGATGAAATCATTAAGTTGTATTAAAACAAGCTTCTCTAAAATTTTGCTTAAAAATGGTAAGTTGGATACCGGAAGAAAATTATTAAAGTCATTAAAATCTAAATTGCTCTTCTTCAACAGGAGTCTGACCACTGCCCGTTTAAAAGCAGCAGGAAAGACCCCCGTCTGAAGGGAACAGTTCATCAAAGTTAAAATCTCATCTCTAAAAGAGTCATAAAATTGTTTTAAAAACCTTGTGGGGATAGGGTCCAGAACACACGTGGTAGGCCTCACTGAGGAGAAAACTTTAGCAATAGTCTCAACTTCAACCAAGACAAAACTGTCCAGTGTTTCCTCAGGTAGACACACACTCTCAGATTGATCGGGAGCAGCATGACATTGGGAGGAAAAAATGTTACGTCTGATGGTGTCTACCTTCCCTCTGAAGTGGGCTGATACCTCTGCACTTTTGGACAGCCATACAAAGTAAAGCACTAAAGTATAGGTTTTATTATTTTGGTATGCTTGTAAAACATATCAACCAAGAAGTGTCATCTACAGTTTATGTGTGTGGACTGATCTTACTCATGCACCCCACCAAAGGCAAGTGTGTATTGCTTGTGTATTTGCAGAAGCACAAACAGATTCTGAATTAAAAAAAACAATCTCCTGGTGTCATTTGCAGGCGACTAAAGTGCTTTAAGGTCATACTTTCATCCATGTTAGCTACTTGGCTTTCAAAAACAACATTTTCTTTGTAACTGAGACACGGAGATGTCACCACATTCGACCTCTGACCTCGATTCCAGGCGCCTTCCTATTCCTTGGATCAGAGACATCCACATCAGCACAATCTATTGACTAATGATCTTAAAGGGGCTCCACTACAGCTGCCTTCTGGTGCAAATGCATGAGCTAAAATTAACCAATGATCAGAGGGAAAAATGTTCCAGCATGTATTTAATGTTGGCAAATTAATAATATATTTATGCTTACGTGCAAAAACTAGCCATGCGTACACGCTTTGAGGGATCCAAAGGAGTTGCTGAAAATCTTAATTTTCTTAACAACCCTAATAAAACTCAAAGGAGCATAACTGAATATAATTCTAAAAGTTAATCTGAACTGATAAAGTATTCAAGCATGCATTTGTGGAAGGTTTCTGGCAGGATCGAACCGCTTATGTTGTGTAGCGGAAGAAATGTGATGTTTTATTGGAGAAAACATGCTGATTTGTGACACATTGTGTGGTTTGTCGTTACATATTTGTAAGAATTTTTTTTCTGACAGCAAATTAGTTTATTTATTTATTTATTTTGTCTGTTTTCGACACATCTACAGTACAACACACTGTTCGTGCAGCTCATGGACCAAAGGAGAGTAAGCTTAAGTCAACAAACTGTCACTCACAATGAGCAAGCCTCCCATCTTCCTCTGTTAAATAAATATAGAATCTGGAGTTTGTGTGTGTTTTTTTCCAGCAGGGGGTGACTAATTATGTTTCTGCCTGCAGAAAATCAGTGCTGCAGCCTTAGAGTTTCCAGGCACTCTGTTGTCCTCAGATAATACACATCCTGACAGAACTCCTGCTGAAGCCACCGTAATGAGTCCCACTCCTTCCTCTTACTTCCCTTTCCTCCCATCCCTCCGATTGTCTGTTGGTCTGTCTCTCTTTGGAGCCCCTAACGGAGCCGGAGCAACGTTCGTGCATCGGCCGCCTGTCAACTAGTCAACTATTTAGAGATAATAAGGCCCACTTACGCCAGAAGAGATAATGTAGATGCCTACAACAAGCGCAAACAGTCCCCCTGACAGCAGAGGCTGGCTGAGTGTGATGGCTTGAGACAAGTTTTATCTTTGGGAGTTGACACTACATGTAGTATTAGCAGTGAGCAATAAATAAATAAAAATACCGGTTTGTTTTTTGGTTTAAGTGGAAGCATCTGCAGTTCTACAGAGTCACTGTGCAAGAAAAACACGCAAACCATATGCATTTGCGTTTTTTCCAGAACTGGTAGTTCTTGGCAGTTTAAGGTCACCAAGCGATGAGAATCTGGGGCGCAGAATCCACCTCTGTAAGTGGTTTATTAATGCAACATGGATATCAGGAGAAACGATGAGCTGAAGGGTTAGTTTACCATGCATATATGTAAATATGTCCATAAATAATTGAGGCAGCACAAAGTGAGATGACAAAAAGGTTTTAGCTTCATGGGTTGTGCGTATCTGCAGAGATGCTATGGGACACAACACTGTCAAAAGTCATCTTCCTGCTCTCTGAGCTGCAAACAGTGAAGCAAAAAAGGATGCTTGAGGGGAATTGAGGAAAAAAGTAAAGCAAAGTGACAGAATGGAGGAAAAAATATGTGATTCTTTGTTTCTTCCAGCAGGAGCATCAGCCAGGTCGGGAACGGGAGGAAAAAATGTTGCAAGAGTTGATTGTATGCTTCTCCAATGTAAGTCAAGCAAATTACAAACCAAAAGTCAAAAACCATCAGGCAAGATAAACGGCGGTGGTGCTTGGAGGGGTGAAAATTGGAGCATGAGGCATTTAGAGCTGTGAGCATACTGTGGTTTGGATTCAGAGTGCCAGAAACTCAGAGTCAATCTTCATCAGTGAGCCTATCTTCGCATGGAGCTCTTGCTGTGATGGGAGGGAGGAAAAAGGAGGAGCAGAAGACCAGGGGGATCAAAGCCAGCTCAATGTGGGGATCCAAAATGAACTACTACTGTAGTCTTACAGTAGAATTATGTATGCGTCGCTCTAACTGCACACGGAAGTAATCAGCACTCTCTTCTCTTTGATGGTATTAGGGTTGCCCTGGTACTAAACTGGTCTAAAGGGACGACGGAGGGGAGAGGAGTGATTTAAAGACTGAGGAGGGCAGTTCATTTATATTGTTAGAGAATTAGACTTACTATATGGCTCTGTGGACAAAGACTGGAGAACAAGTAAAACAAGAAGACAATGTAGCAAGAAGGGTTCAGGAGTTGAGAGAACATGACATGACTTTAACAGGCAATCTTGGTTCAGGGCAGAGCTGCTAGATCTAAAACGCGATCCGATGACGGCTCCTTGAGTTAAACTTACGACAGCCTCTCTCGTCGCTCTTGTCGAAGCAGTTGTGGAATCCGTCACACTGCCAGCTGCCCGGGATGCACTTCCCATCTCCACACATGAAGTTTCCAGGAAGGTTGCACTCGGTGGTGAAGTTATTCCCAGGAAGCAGTTGGCTCTCTGATGGAAGATGTAAAGAAAAAAGAGGAAATAAAAAAAACTATTACGATCTTCGACGCCATGACGAAATGAGACAGTAATCCCCGTGATAGTCATCACAAGAGTCAAAATGCAACACCATTACTGGAGCTATTCGTTTCCAGATGAAAACACATTAAAGAGAATTGCTCAATTTAAAAAGCAACATCAATCTGAGAGCAAATAAATGGAGGACAATTGCATAAACACCAACGCCGGAAAGGTCATTCAGTGTTAACCGTGTTTTGGGATCGGTGTATAGTGAGGCAGCATCACAATGGGTGAGATACACAAACACAAAGCAGCACTCATGCACAAACGAAACAGATATTTTACACCTTAAACAAACACACACACACACACACACACACACACACACACACACACACACGCACGCACCACATTTAAACAGTTTCAGCACAAAGAATGTACTCTGAATGAATACAGTCGACACAGTGCAGCTGTGGAATAATGGGTTGGAAGGTGAAACATGGCCTTTTGGCGAAGGTTTGACGCCATGCGGTAAGTGGTTTAGCTCGTAAACAAAGCTATGTGGCAGTAATGAGAAGTTCAAGCCATACTGGAGAAAGCATAAGCTGCAGTGTTGAAACCGGGTTCAGCTGGTAGGTCGCTTTATGTGAACTGAGAGCAGGACGCAGAAGGTGAACCTGCTGCTGCAAAGAATTAGAACATTTTCCTGTTAAATCGTGGCTGAGCTTACTTCAAGTGAAAAACGTTGGGGTTAGTGTACAGAAACCTGCGACTTCTGAGGTGAATGTGAAACTGAAACTAGGAAAAAACATAAACCTTGCTTCAGATTTATCTGGAAATCGATAAATGTTGCTTTCCGAACAATGTTCCTGTTAAAATGCTCTCATACATCTATTTCACATAGTCTTAGTTTAATGGCGACAGGATTAAGTGAGACAGACTAATAAAAAATGGTGAAGCCTGATTCATTGTCTTTTTTTTCAAGTGCACTGGGAAAAAATATTGTTTCCAAAAAACTGGTGAAACACTTGGTGTGTAAAATTCCCCCACAGATCACAACACGCCCTATAGGTTATAAACTGTAAATTGCTTTGGATAAAAGCGTGTGCTAAATGAATAAACATAAACATCTTAACAATGTGGTTTGGACAAACAAATGTTTTATGTCAGTACATAAGGAAAGATAAGCAAACTTCACTGTAAAAAACAGCCGTACAGTATATTTAACAGCGATAAACCGTAAAACAATGACAGGAAATACCCATCAACTATAAAGTTATTTAAAACAATTTATTTTATGTGAAGTTGCTCAAAATAAATAAATTGGTGAAAACAGTAATTTATACATTTTGTTTTGTTTGAAGAAAAAAAACATAAGCCTACTGTAAAGCACGCTTGCATATTTTTTTTTATTTCCTTAAGTTTATAGTGGTAAAACACTACGATTTTTACATTTATTTATTGAAAAAAAAATACAGCTACTAATTGCTGCTTGATTATGTAACGAGCTCACCTCTTCTTCTGTGGTGCTGGAGTCAGCCTATTTTCATGTTTCATGACTCAACACTTTTGACTGCTACAATTTTACACGCATGCACAGTTGAAATACGTGAACAGAAATTAAGTGGGCAAACCGATTCTAATCGGTTATGACCGAACGCCACTTAACTGATTAAAAATGTACATCCCATTTCATTCTATGAATTGAACAGTGAAATGTGATTGTATGTAATGAGGAAAACCTTTTGAATTTGGTTTTAAGTGAAAAAAATGTTTTTAGTGGCACAAATTAAATGTTATAAATTATTTTTATGAAGGATTATGGTAATACAATGAAATTTTTTCAAGTAAAAACATTTTCTTCTACAGTAAAATACTGACTTCGGCACCATTTTAACCATAAAATCAACAAGAAAAAAACCTTTCTGTGAAAGAAAAACGTTTTGCCCGGTAACATTCTGGCAACCCCAGCTGCTGGCATTTTACCGTAAAATCCACATTGTTTTTTACAGTGTTTTATGAAATTGTATCCAGAGTTTACATTCAAACCACAATTAGCACAACCACAACCAGATCAGCTCTAGGAGAAAATCATACATTAAAATAATGTCTTCTTTCATCACCATCCTTAATTTCCTGATTTCACAGCAGGTGCAGAAAACCATCTGTAGATCTTTTCTTACCCAACGACAGCTTATGCCCTCTGGTGTGCTGATGCAAACCTCTGGTAAGTCGTGTGCAACACAGAAACAAGAAGGTGGCAGGCAAGGGAGAGAGCTCTTTGCATTTATATTTTTAAATAAAAACATCCTAATCAATTGTCCTGTCCCTGAAATGTGACAATAATAAAATAACATAATTACTGCCTTAACAGATATAACATCAAGAGTTGATTTAACAAAGTTGCATTGCAGTAGCTTAACCTGTGTGGTGCGTTGTTGCGTCAGTCACAGAACAGGTTACAGACATTTTCATCTATAGCTTCTAACTTGAGTTTATAAATAAAAACTTGTGTATGTTGTGTGTGGTTATGTAAAAATACACTTCTGCATTTTTAAAATACATGAATGAATGAACGAATGAACGAACGATCGAATGAAAGTAAGAAAACAGCTCTTGAAAGCACCTTACCTTCTCTTAAACAAGTATCATTGGAATCTTTGGAAACCATATCAGAGATTTAGCTCAAACTAGAAGAACATATACTGTACATCCTCTTCATCTTTATCTCCTGCAACATCTGCTAATGATGCAATCGCTTCACGCTGGATGTGGGATCAGATTATTTCCCTTTTACTTTTCTGGTGAACAGCAAAATCTCATCAGAACCTAAACTCAATTCACTAAAGGAAGATATTACACAAGCATGTCTTTTCAGCATTTCAAAACAAGGAAATATTACTTCAGATTGTTTTCTTTTTTCTTTACTTTTATAGCTGGAATCTGATCTGATTTTCTGTAATTACAAAGCTAACGGAGGTGAACGGTGCTCCGAAGAAACGGATGCCCAAAACAAATGGCACAACAGACCAATGGTAAAATCCAGGGTTGATGAAGGCGAAATTACGACGCAATTTGACCCGGGGCATTAAAAATGGGATCAGAACCAGCTTTCATTGGCCAAACAGCGTAACGAGGAATGACCAATGTTTTCCATCACTTAGAGGAGTGATGCAGTTAAGAGCCTCCAGGCCATCTATTCGATGCTTTCTAATGTGGCATTAACATGACTTTGAGAGTGTGATCTGTGCCCACGTTTTAAGCTTCAAAAATGAATCAAACTCACAAGGGGGCAGAGACCCCGAAAGACACGGTCATGTGTCCCAGCTCCAGCCATTTAGACCACCTGGTCTACTGGTTCATCAGAATCAAAATCAGAGTTATTGGTCAAGTTAAGAATAAATAAATAAATATTAAAATATTGAAAACAGTGCAAAAACATGGCAAGTACCAGTGTTAAAATCTTAAAAGGTAGAGAACAATGGTAGTGGGAAAGAAGTGGGGGGGGGGGGGGGGGGGGGGTTCCGTTTATTTCTATGGTATTTAAATCAAAGCATTTAATCTCTCCTTGGACTTCTGAAGCAAAGCAGCATGAAAAACTACTTATTGATTTTTAATGATTGTTTTCAAGGTCATGCAGGTCAAATCCAATAAGTTACAAAGACAAAAAAAAAATGCAATATCCAAACCTTCACCTTTTCTTTTTAGTTCCCAGAGTGAAGATTCAAATCGACAATGGATCGCTGGCACAATAGCTGTTGGTTCTGTTTTACTCACGGATCACTTCCAGTCTTTACTTGTTGTTAAATCAGCTCAGTGTCAAATCAAGAATGGTACTTCAGAATGAGAAATAAACACCTCTCAAAGACTCTCATCTTAATGGGTGTTGGATCTGGTGTCTAAATGAATGTTTTTGTTGCATCTCTTTTTGACATTTTTACATGATTCACCCTTTATCTGCCATTCTATTTTCAGCTTCATGCAAATGAGTCAGAAAAAAACAGTCATGCTGATATTAAAGGTACAGCGTCATCCCTTTAAAAAGTTTAAAGGTGTAGAATACTGAAAACAACATGTTTAATGATATTTCTGATTAAAGTGGTCACTGTGAGTTTTTTATGTAGGCTAGGGCTGTCGCGGTTGAGGAATTCCTCCTGCGGTGATTCAGGGTGGCTTAATATTGCGGTGTGCGATATTATTGCAGCCCTTTTTTTTATTGCAGTACTATCTAAACATAATGTTTACACATTTAAAAAAGGTTAAAAATTGCCATGCCTTCTTTAATAACACTTAACTGAATGCAGATCAAAGGGCAGTAACAACACAGATCGCAGTAACGTTTGTTTCTCCGACAGTCGGAGTCCGACTGAACTTAAAAACAACAAAATTCAGGAGAAGGTTAAACTTTTAAATGCAAATTTGGCTGCAGCATCTAACAAATAAGAAACAAGTCCCCATTTTGTTTAGTTGTTTAAAATCAAGCATAAAAAATTACATGTACCGGGCGCGTGCGCCGGGGGGGGGGGGGCACTATCATTTCACTTTCACACACACACGAATGACGGTGATTTATAGCTCGGTCACGTCCTTGTTACCCACAAGGAAAACCAGCATGTTAACCATATACGGTTTGAGAGAGGATCTGAGAGGGGAGGCAACATTTCCAGCAACACTGAAAACCCTCTCGGACGGTGCACTCGTTGCACTAACGCACACGTACCTGTGTGCGACTGGCGGGCAAAGGGAATCTCTCCCGGTTGTTGCTCCACCATGTCCGGGGGTTTTCTTTAGGGTGGATGCATTCCTCCTGCAGGTAGCGAGTGAGCTCCAGCTCGGCTCAAACTCTCTTCAGGACGGTTGCAGAAGCAGTGCTTGCCCGGGACTTCAGCAGGTCTCAGAGCGTTTATTATTATTTTTTTGCCGCTGGTGGCAGCTCTGTCTCGGCCAAGGACTCTGGCTGAGCAGCAGCTGACGTACTGAAAACCAAAGTG